TTACTACAGCGCACTGTGGCTCTGACCCATGCTTCTCACTGTTGACTGCTTGTTGTGTAGGTGATCTAAAAACTGAAGCCAAGTCTACTTTTTCACTCAGCATAAATCGTTCTGAATCAGAGGTTTGAGAAAAGGTTTTGAGACAAATCTGTGTTGATATACACGTCAGTGTCTGACCAACATCCTCTCCAGGTGATTCAAATGTGTCTGGATTATGACCTTTGTTGCCAGAAGATGTGATCTGGCAATATCAGTATGAGTACTTGCAGTTTCTTGGCCTAGCGTTATTGACTGCATTTCATGCAACAAGCCCTCCACTCTAGCCATGGACAAGGCTACGCAAACAATACTTTTACACAACCAGCAGATTAGTATTCATATTTAATCATGTCTCTGGCCATCTGATGAAACCAACTAGCCAATATTCACTCTGTTTTGGTCTCCACCAACTCATCTCCTGTTTGGTGCTGGGCAGGGATTGTACAGTTGGTTTATTGAGCTTTTTCGCTCAAAACAGCTACAACCTGCTGGAAACAAGGTTGATGTAAGTTTTTTACTATTTAGTTTTTAACTACTGCACATACAATGGCAAATGTATCACACTACTGACTTATTTTTGTGCAGATGCAGATCTAGACACCCTACTAAATAAAGAATTTTAATCATTTTGAGGATTGTGCAGCTTGTCAGAGGCATAGGCTCTCTTGGTGCTTATGTTTATGTTGATTATGTTTGTTTTGGCAACCAGTTGAGTTTTACAACTCCTTCTATCTTGCTTTTAGATAAACTAGCAGATTAATTGCAGACTGTATTCAGCATGGATACTTCCGATTAGAAAATTTCATCCATTTCTCGAGAGTATCTTCCCATGAAAGTTTTTTATCAGATTAAATTATCTCCTTTTCTTGTGCCTACTATTAAACCTCACGTTTCCTCTGTCAATTCTCCACACGCCTCTGTCCTTCTGTCTATCTATCTGCCTGTCTGTCTCTCTGACTCCCTGAATGTGTCCCAGTCACACTGGTAAGTGTTTTGAGCCATGGAAATGTCCCACAGACTCCTGAACTGTGCTCATTCATCCTAAATTTAGCCCACTCTCCTGATCCCTTCTCCATGGCTGTGGGAAACACTGCATACTTTTCCCCCCTCTGCTCCCAGTCCAGTGAGGGCCCGGCCTGGGCCTTTCTGTCAAGTGCCCGATTGTAACTCACAAGAACAGGTCTTGTGTTTGCCGTGTAGGTGTCCTTCCTCTGCCTCTCATCGGGGGCTAAAAAGTATGTTTTCCGCTCTTCTCTCTCTTGCACACACGCCCATAAATAAAATAAAACAGCCCTTTATCCTCGACCTGAAACAATGGGCTACCTCATTCAGTTGAGTTACAGTACATCCACAGAACACCTCAAGGACAAAGAGGCTGAGCTAGTGGCCTGGCTATTCAGCAATTTATCCTCGAGGATGGCATTCCGATAATGCCTTGTGGTCTAGACATATGTTTCCATCAAACCGCCCACTTAGAGGTTGGAGATTCCCAATTCAGTGACCTTACTTTAAGCGCTTTGACCACAGCTACTGTATAATTTTCTGCACTGAACATAAAATGCTATTTGCTGAAATGAGATGCTAGCATCCGTAAAGCTGTTTCCAAAAGAATTGAGTATCAACCTTGAGACGGATTCTCGAAGCACACCAGACTAAAATCGTCTTTTGGTTCTTCAAAGGTACACTAAACACCGAAAAGGGATGTTAGAAAGAATTAGAGAAAATAAAATAAATATTCAGTTGCTGTAGGGAGGCTCATTCGAGGGCAGACTTGGAAAAAGAAAAGAGAGGGTTTGTGTGTGCGCGTGCAGACGGAATACAAACCAAAGGCCCTCGTAAAAAGTGTGAGTCAGAGCGTGTCTTTCTTTCAGATGGTGAGCCATGCCGCAGCTTTAAATATACCAACTTTGCCCAAGGACACCCAGGGCACAATCACCCACTCCTCAGAGGTTCCTAAAGCATGCTTAGAAGGATTCTTTGTAACGAGTGACCCTGAAGAAACCCACAATATCTTTCATTTCTTCCATCTGCATCATCAGTGTCGTCAGCATCAACAGCATGAATCTTAATCACCAACGCCACTAGTATTGCTGTCATCCTCATTACCATAATCGCTTTCATATCTTTCATCACTGTCCTCCCCTGCCTCATTATCACCACCACATCATCATCGTCCTACTCTAACTCCTCATTGCTCCTTTCCTCTCCGGCCCTCGGGCTGACCCGTTCCTCTCCCTGTCCTGGTTTCCTCCCTTTCCTTCTGAGAAGTAACTTGGGCTGGCCTACTTCTGACAGAAGGACACACTGTTTGACTCATTAGTCAGGTCTCGCTGAGACAAAACCACATCAGTGCACAGCAGAGTAGCCAGGAAGAGCAAGTCACATCCTGACAAAGAAGATGAGCTGTTCTTTAGTGGACAAACAGACATGGGTGACACATATATGAGTTGCTGTGGCAGGTATGTGTCTGAACAAGCCTGCCTGTCCTGACTGGCTTCCTTCTTCTCCGGCCTGTAACTGAGGCATGTTGATTGTTCTGGTAAAACTGTCAAAGGGCCAAAAAAAATCAAACATCCGTTCCAGCAGGGCAGCTTCAGCCCCCCAAACAACCATAAGAACTAATTAAAAGCTGATGGCAAAGGATGGCAGAGAGAAAGTACTTTTGCTCCAAAGAAGTGGACAGTGTGAGATCCAATCCACTCTTCACAGAATACAGGTGCATGGACAAAAGGGCTCCCCACAGGGCAATTCTGGCAACATTTTGCATTAATATATTCATTCTATTAGCTGGAAAATTACTTATTTTTCACAGAGGACCACTAAATAGCACGAGTATGGCTCCTATTATTTTTACCATGACACATTCTCTACATCGCTGGCTTCACACTGGCACAAGCACTTTGGAACAGAAGGACTTGTGACTGGGTCCATTAAAAGTCAGAATTCTGTTGGCATAAGGCAAGAATGTGCAAAGCTTTTGATACAGGAAGAGATAAATATATGTTGAATGGTCAATGCTACATCCAGTACATCAGCCAACTCTTCATTTGTGTGTCCAACATCAAAGCATGTAAGTTGTTTTGTCCGTGCCTTCAATGCAGAACACAAACAAAGTCCGTCAAAGCAACCTCAGTGGTCCCTCTCATTCCTGACGTCAGCCCAGAACCAGGGCTAGTATGTTTCCAGTAGCCTGTTCTGGTTATTACTCGGCAACAGTCTTGAAATCCCCAGCTGTCTTTGCCAAATCTTTGGTTAAAGTACATTTCAACAGTTTCAGAGGGGCCATCCATGTTTCTCTCCCCTAGGTTAGCAGGACTGCTGAGCGCAGCAGGGTCCCTGCACCAGATAAATGTTTGGACAGGAGAGGCTCCAGGTTGCTCTGAAAACAATGGGATCAAACGGGACCATCAAAGGCATCTAGCAAGATCAAAGCCTGGCAGAGAGAACTTTACTTTCGGCCCATATACCGGCAGAGATAGAGGATTACTGAGCATTAGAAGGCTGGCCTGTCAGTATTGCCAGTGGTAGTTTTATTCATGAGTGTCACAGTGCAAATGGAAACATCAAAGAACCAGGCGAAGTAAGACGTGAGCGGTAAAGTGCTGGAGGTGATATATTGCAGTGTGCTTTAAAAGGGACATCTGGTAAACCCAGAAATATGTAGCGAGGCATTTTCACAATAAAACTCAGTTCATTTGGCCAAACTTTGGCCATGCGAGCGTCGCTTTCTTTGACTACTCAATAAAGCTCCGACCAAGTTGGGTGACCTTTGCCCCGCGCCATCTGACAAAGCTAACAAAATCAATCTTGCCCCTGCTGACGGAGGGATTTTGTGCCAAGCCATCCATGAACCATTAAGGTTCATTAGTTTCCTCCCAGGCCATTTAACGAGGGGCTGAATATCAGGAGGAAGACACACATCCACTCAGCTCACCTACATCTATGACTTTTCCAGAACGGAGACTGCTTGCTTTTCCATGTTTATTATTCTACCTCTGTCTTTTATTCCACATTGGGAGTAATCATTTGCATGGGGGGGTCTATTTTCCACCTCACACCACCCCACTGGTTATCAATGGGACCTTTCAGAAAGGACCTTTCCTCCACTGATTGAAACATCATTTCCTGCTGGACTAGCACACTGGGGCTATTGAGTCCCCCCTGTAACTCTCTCACTACAGCCTCTTCATATTTACTAGTGACCCAGAAACCTCTGGACCAGTATACATATGGTATCAGCTTGCAGCAAGCCGAAGGTGCAAGGGGCATAAATGCACACAAACATTCTCTCAGTATGGAACAGTCAATCTGAGACACACAGGGCAGGGTTTTCACTGCAACTCCTGCTCCGTTCCAAAATAAATCCGACGAGAGAACTTGACACTTTCAACATGAGAGTTAAGCATCCGAGCCAAGTCAAGAAAAAAGATCTCCTGCATATAGGATTATATTTAAAGAATCCACCAATCAGAGCAGCCTGCACAAGAAAATCTAACGGCGAACCACTATAAAGCATGGTACATTAAATTGACTTCCCTGTGGATTTCTTGCTTGTACTATAAAAAAGGCCTGTCAGCTCCCTGACGTTTTGAGGGTAAGGCAGAGATGAGATGAGAGAGAGGAAGAAGAGGGGAAAAAATGGAGGGGTAGAGCTACAGAGAGGGCAGAGAGAGACAGACGAGGTGTATTGCTGCATCTCTACGAGTCTAAGGGATACAAACCATGTCTCCCCTGCTCCCGGACCAATTACTAACACACACATTGATTCATTGAGGCGACGAGGTGTGGAGAACACGGGCGCAGCAGTGAACAGTCGTGAGGCTTACACATTAATCTATACAAAACAGTGCTGCAAGTTCACAGGGGTTGACATGTTCAAAATACATCAGCGGCAAAGAAATTAGGGAATTCAATACAGGCGCTCCGCATACGGAGTGTGCCGGGGAGTGATGAATGATTACCTGTAGGTCAAAGAATTTGCTGTATCTTCTGTAGATGATGTGGGAGGTGTTGTCAGAATAGGTGACATTGATGAGATATACCTGCCAAGAGAAGAAAGACAGAGAGAAGTTAAAATTTGGGCCAGAAATTGTTTCATTTAAATTTTTAACTAGCTTGTTTTGTCCAACCAACAGGGCTACAGTTACAATGATACAAGTTTGATATTCAAGAATAGCAACTAGCGAATGTCTTGCAACTTTTTCCTGATAAATGACAAATGAATCCATTACAAATAATTTTCTGTCAATCAACCAATTACAAATCTTTTCAGCACTCACTGAAACAACAGATGTTAGTACAATTGATTGTAATAGCAAACACATGTGCTTGTAGTATGAACAAACTCAGTGTCAACATGTTCACACAACCCAAGACCAATTCCTTCAACATGGACGTTCAATGACACACACTCATAAATCTGTCAGTGGTTGATACTTCAGGGTATATATGGTGACATAACCCCTCCTTTGTCAGCACACTGACCTGCTGGCCTTTACCCTTGGCTAAAGCAATGCAGCACTCCTCAAGAGGCCTGATAAGATTGAGACAGAGTCCATTTATCCGTCAAGAGGAGGTAAGTGATGCCGCCATCATCTCTAATCTAATGAAACATAGATAACCAAGGTAACAGATCCAAAGGCCAGGAATCTTTCATCAGAGACGTTAGGAGCAGGTGGGGTCTCTCAACTGCTGATATAGAGATGTTCAGAAAAGGGCTCTGGATGTGAAATTACTCAAGTGGATGAGCTGCATAATATTAGACTACAAAGCTTGCAAAGTGGAAATTACACAGAGTTAGCAATTAATTGGCTACATCTCTAGAATCTCATGTATTTCGATACAACTTTTGAAAGCTTTTATTGTTCTAATACTTTGTCCCGCTCATGGGTGCACAAGGGGCGAGGACACAATATTAGAAACTTTCCTCAATATAATGTCATCCAGTACAACATTAACAGAACTACTGGTCCGAGACATCAAAATGGGTCCTTTGCACTTTCCTGTGAGTGTTTTCTTATGTGGCGCCTTTTCAGCAGGACAACATTGTTTCATTGGGGAAGTAAGATTCGATCACAAGTGGTCTCTCGAGATGCATTCTAATGACAGGTGTGAACTGACGTACTTAGAACTGTCCATTGTGATAGAATCACCCAAGACGCATGTTAATGCCAGATATAAACAGGGCCAAAGATACAATGCATGACCACAAGAGGTCACTCAGGAAAACTGTATTCAAGTGTTCAAACATTTGAGCAGATGTTGTTCTGGTGAGGACAGACTCCAGTTACCATAGAACATGGGTACAAAGAGCTTCACAGAAAATATTTTTTTTTTCCATTAGATTCTACAGATGTACCAGATAACCTGGTAACATTGTTGGAGAGTTATTCTTGACTGGTGTGTGTGAAAAAATGAATTGTATTTAGAATATAAGGGAAAAGCCATCCGTTTTTGCTTATACAAAAGGCATTCATGGTGTTTCCATATATTTCGTACTCACTAAGCACCTAAAGCTGTATACATCTGGCGTGTACTCAATGTACAGCTAAAATTGCCATTATCAAGTGATTTGCAATAAAACAAGATGTTGTCACCCAGCCAAGGCATTCCAGCTAAGTGGCCCAGACACAGCGCAAATACAAATCCACTCAACATCAAGCTGCCGTGAACACAGAAACAACTGACTTTGCCTCATGTATAGCACCAAGATTAAATAAAGGCAATGTGTTCCAAATGTATTCCAGCAGGCTCCATCTTTCTGACTGATCTTAGACTGCCGCTCCAACCCTCTGTACCTGCCAAGAGCCTCCGGAGCAGAGCTGAGATGAATGAGGTCGAGTGAAAGACCCTGACTTTGACGTACGAAGGGCAGCAGCTTGAAACAAAAGAGGTTCCGCAACAAAGCTTAGGGTTAAAAGGCCTTGTTGCTGCTGGAAGGGGCTCAGCTGCTGGCAAGGAGCCAATGCAGTATGTTCACTCCCATGCAAACACAGCTACTGGCATCCAGAAGCTGTGACTGTCACACTACACTGAGAAACTTGTTCTTAGCACGGTAGGGTGTCACCAGAGCGATTAGTTTTGGCATTTATTGCTATGAAAATGTGCACCCCGGGGTTCTGCTGAGTTACAAAATCAAAAAAGTCAAAAACTGGCTTATGCAGCCACAGTCGGATGTATGTTTCCAAGTGTCTCTGTGACTTTTGTAGCTTAACAAGGGCTCATGAGTATAGCAAAGAGCTCCTTTTTTCCCCTCATTAACAGAGCATCTCTTAAATAAAAGAGGCCACATTTCAAAAAAATGAAAGGACACACATGGGAAAGTGAGTTAACTGGGGAATGAGGTGTACTTACATCACGTGCTGCTTCATCCTGGCTTTTAAAGTGAAGTTTAAAATGTATGTAAAGGCTACACTTAGGCTACTGGCACAAATACCAAAAACATCCTTATGCTGCTGGTGCATACCAGTCAACACTGATATCTAAATGACAAGATATGCCTCAGAGTGAATGGAGGGACTGCCCTGGCATTTGTCAAGATCTTTTCAGTGTGTGGTAGTAATATTTATGTGACACTGAGTGTGTTTATAATTAATTAAGCAATTAAGGCTTGTAAAAATGTATTTTTACAAGTTTAAAAAATGGAGGTCAGTCCATCAACATACTATCTCAAAAACGGATTGTTATGAAATTTTATGCACACATTTAAGGCCCCCAGAGGATGAATCCTAATCACTTTTTTGAGTGAATTCTAGCACCACCAACTTACTTGGCTTCACTTATTTAGCAAAATATCTCTACATCTACAAGATGGATTGGCACAAACTTTTGTACAGACATTGATTGTTTACAGTGTATCCTAATGACTGAGATGACCCCCTGACTTTTGTCCTCTGGCACCACCGTGGGATTAACATCTGTGGTTTTGAGTGAAATGTCCTTACGATACGTGTTACTTTTTATTTAGTGCCATCACCAGGTCTAAATTTTCATTTTTCCAAAAAGTCTATGACCAAATACGTGCGGAGCGTGAGCAAGTTGATGTTAGCGTTTAGCTCACTGCTGTGTCCAAGTACCACCTCACAGAGCCTCACTCGAACTATCATTCCTGTATTGCAATTTCTTGCCAATTACTGTTACACATACGCCCATACAGACACACCTGTGATAAACAAGTATCAGATATATATTGACCTGGTCAAGTTATGGGTCTGGCTGTAGAGTATAAGCACACATAAGTGAAAGATCTCTGTGGAACTTACTCCAATTCTACTATGTGGCTCTGTGTGTTTGCTCTGTAAACTCCTCTGACCTCAACGGTATGCCAGAGTACCGTCCTCCCATCATGCCTCAGGGCCACTTGATTCGACACAGAAGCAAATCCGTGCTGAGCTTAGGGTATAAGATAGGAGCCAGACTGGAAGATGTGGACTCAGTAAAAAGATCCAAACCCCAGAAGCAGATGGGTATGTGATGGCAACCGCAGTGGAGAACACAACGAACAACCAATCCATGGTCTGCCCATGCCCAAAATATCAAGCTTAAACTTAATGCCCCCCCATTCCCCAAAATAGACTCCATTCACTCAACACAGCCAGTAAATTATAACAGTCAGGGCTGCTGCCTTTCAAGATAGATGAAGAAACATCCAGGAGTAAACATCTTCTGATTTGCCCGTAATGGAATCTGGTTATTTCATTTTGCATAGTACATGGTGGCTGCCTTTCCTTCACCTTTTCATGAGGAATGGGACACACTCATGCAACAACTAAAATAAGCTGACATGGGCTGACTCAGAGCTCAAGTACATCCAGTCGTGAGTGCTAAGCACAGCCAACATGCCCTCTAACAAGCATTTGTGGAACAAAAAGTCTCCCTATTTTGCAGTTATTACCACTATATGAACATTTAATACATTGTTTATAACACACTGTAATGTAGTTGTATGCAGCCATAGAGGACATTTTAATGTTATTTAATTAACAGTATTTGTCAACACTTATAATTTCTTCTATGAAAACATTTTACATTATTACAACTGTGTTTCACTATATTGTCATTCAGAATCTGTTCATACACCAGCATCCACTTATGGGTGTCCACATATATTAATAAACACTTATATTTGCTCACATCTACATTATAGTGTTTTATAAACCATGTATTAAATGCTTATATACTACGCTTATATTATACTTATATGCTAAATGGGGTGATTAAAGTAAGCCAACAAAAAACTGACTCACTCAAATGTCAGTTAAGAAATAATCTGTCAATTATAGAATTCCATATGGTAAGATGAGCGACTTACACAGCAGCGACAGACAAATTCATTTGCAAGCATAACACTAACAAGTCTCCAATTTATCTTCCATCTTCTTGTGGGGATTTTAGAAGCACAGAAATCAAGATAAAAAGTCAAACACCATTCTTGTGATTGCTGCAAGACATTTTTGCACAGCAGGCATGTCTGGACCAATAAGGCATTGCTGCAATTCAAAATGAGGGTTGAAATTTGGGCGAGGAGGCAACATTAAGGCTCACGTGGAGGAACATGATCTCTTGATTTCTAACACTCAGTTGTTAATAACCTCTCCTACATTTGGAAACAGGAAGGTGGTGGAGACTAAAATGGATATTGCAGGATTAGGAAACTATGAGAAGGCTGCATTACAACTCACTATAGATGACTGTGAAGGGCCTAACTGGAGTAAGTTTGACCAAATGTACAGCTGTTTCAGTGCATCGCTGCTACTGAGAAGGAGCTCAGTAGTAAGTAGTAAGTAGTAAGAGACATCCTACAATCCAGTGAAAAAACAAGTCCTTTCTTGATCACAGATTAGTAGAGTTTTTCTTCAGATTCCACAGCAGTCACATGTCAACACTCCATTTCTGACATGTCAACTTTCTTTTCAAAAGGAGTCTAAAAATTGATTCATAAACAGGGAAAACACAAACGGGGAGGGGGGGGGCAAACAACATAAAGAAAGCTTTGGGGGTTTGAGTGTCCCAGATAGCAAGAAAAGACCTTGTACATCTGTTA